TTGATTAATGTTCAACACTACAAATCTGTAAATTTTCCTATTTGTGCAAAAAATAAATAAATAAAGCTGCAATGGGCCCTTGCAGGCGTGCTGCGGTCGCGTTATGTCCCATTATCATGTGCAAACCGCACTGTGAAAACTTCACATAATTCAGATGATGACTGCCACACAAGGCTTGCTTCTTGTCTCCAGTAGGGGGTGCTATGAGGGTGACTGAATACTGGCAAGACCCTTATCAAACATGTAAATTTTGACGCAGATTGGACAAAGAATGTTTCCTGGCGATATGTCTAAATTCGAAGCAATGCCACAGACAGTGTTAAACGAAAAGTCTTAGGATTCATAACATATCATCATCAGCTTCTCAAATGTCAGCTGGATCTGATAAACCTGCAATGAAAAGTACATCAAAGCATAAAACATGCCATTTCCTGTTGCCAGTAGGGGGCACTATGAGCAGGACTGAATATTGACATCCATGTGTGTTCAGGGCGGTACTCTTATCAAACATGTGCATTTTGGTTCTGATTGGCCAAAGTACACTGAAGTTACCTAACTTCCTGTTTTATGGCAAAATTTGCCGTCACGCCTCAATGAAAACTCAAGGATTTCATAACTTTTCATTGTGATGGTAATAGACTATACTGAAAAAACTGGAGTCGATCTGATCAATTCCCTAGGAGCACTTCATTAAAATGATTGTGTGTGTGTACTGATTTTCATCCATATTGGTGAAGTTGGGGCTTCTCTACAGGGGGCGCTGTCAAGCCATTCTTCCACGCATGTGCGAGACTCACAGAATGCATAATTTGTCACCTCGACTGACACGTGTGTTGTGTTTCAGAGCATGTTGCGGCCGCCAAGAATGCAATTCATTGGAGAATAAAATAATAATTCCTTCAGTTTCAGCCGCTGCTCAAGTCCTGGAACACAGTGTCACATTCACATCAGTACATCTTCATATTTCACCCTATCACCCACAGTACCTGTGGCCACCAGGGCAGTGGGTCTTTTTTTTTTCTTCTCAGATTCAGGAGCACCTTTACAATAGTTTCCCAAACAGGCAACCTTGCAGTCACACTGCAATATCCGCAACACACAGGATACATATAAATCAATACTGGAAAAACCTGAAAATTTCATGACCATGGAAAAGGGTGGCAGAGGGTGAAGACTGCCTCATGTCTGCTTCCTCCAGTCCAAACACTTTTGTTTTTCAGTGTCTCTATGACCCTCTCACTGCTCTGCCCTCTCTCTGTCAGCATGACAAAAGACCTTGTGTGTGTGTGTGTGTGTGTGTGTGTGTGTGTGTGTGTGTGTGTGTGTGTGTGTGTGTGTGAGACCAAAAGGCTCACACTGAAGGAGTGTGATTTTCTAACATCATGGTCTTTAGCAGCCTCACACACTCCCACCCCTCCATCCTTGCATTCATAAGTAAATGTCAAAAGTTCACATTTTCCATCTCTGAAATGTCTTTTGTCCAATTTAAGATCCTCTCCTTTGCTTATTTTTCAGAGAATGAGCACCCTGTGTGTGTGTGTGTGTGTGTGTGTGTGTGTGTGTGTGTGTGTGTGTGTGTGTGTGTGTTTGGATGTGCTGTGTGTGTGTGTGTGTGTGTGTGTGTGTGCAGTGATTTTACATCAGTAATTATTAATGATCTGTATTGCATGAGTAATGGTGCATAGTGCTGACATTCTTCTACAGGTTAACAGTGTAGTGCAAAACGCGCTTGGGCACACAGGCACACACACACACACACACACACACACACACACACACTGAATAGTGCAGGGTTTTCTCCAGTGCTTGACACATGAAGTACAACCGCTGCCACGTGGTTATTCCACACAAACAAAGCATTTTAAAAAGGCAACGTCAACAAAAGATCAAGGTATTAAAGTGAGCAACTGAACCCTGAAACTGTACAGATTTTAAATTACACCAGCCAGCCAGTCAGAAACAAGTGTTCTGCTTGGACATGCTTTAAGAAAATGTGACAGTTTGAAGCAATCTAGTAACAATATTGGCCTATTAGATTTGGGGTTTTTTAAGCACTGCGTATGTGCATGCATGCCACAAAGACAGATTTACACCTACAAAGAAAAAAACATTAAAAGTAGTAAGTTAAAACATCACTGACTGATGATAACAGCATACAACAGTGGTAGAGTACTAAAAATGCCACTAAACACTGGAGAATTTGAAAACTTAAGACAACTGAGTCAGTGACTGTAGCCCACAAACATCAGCAACACTTGCAGCTAATTCTTATAAACTATAAACTAGGTGATAAATAAAATATTCACTCATGTATTGACTTTGTTTGATTTGCATGAATAAGGAATTCCCCGGCCCCCCGCTCACAACAGAATGAGAATACAGAGCACAACCCCGAGTGACTATTCAGCCTCTGAACCTTCAAGACCAAACTAACTGCTTGCTTTTGAACCCACGTCTCTCTGATGATCGTCTTTTGAACAAACCAACAATGACAACCTGGATATGATGAAATGACAAAGTGATGTAATTACAATGAAATGGAGTGACATGAAAATAGAAACGCCACTCTGGGTATAACAAGACAAGGACATAAATAGGCACGACTAGAAAGCTAAAAGGCCAATAAATAACTCTTTGTTTTTGTCACTGCAACTTTAGTCAAAGATGGCCAGACATTTTGACAATAGGCCTACATGAAACTGAGCAAAATATGTTTTAAAAAGGTGTATTTCTTGTGGTTGGAGTCAGGCGTGGGGGTGGAAAAATCTAAATTGTTACAGATGACAGCTTGAGTATAGTTACAGACAGTAGCGCACACAAACACAGGTGACTAAGGGCCTGTGTGACTAATCAAAAACACACACCTACTGTAAATGCAAACACACAGACATACAGGCACATGAACAAGTGAACACTGACACACTTGTAGTGCTAGAGAGAGAGAGAGAGAGAGAGAGAGTGTGTGTGTTGGTGTTTTGCTTTTTTAAAACAGCCTTAGGTGGCCATTACACCATTAGAGCCAGGGCTCCCCAGTGCCCAATAAAAGCTGTTAAACCACTGCCAAGTTGGAATGGACCTTTTCCTTTGCCTATGCGAGTGTGTGGAGAGAGAGGTCGAGAGTGTGTGTGTGAGAGAGAAAGAGTGTGTGAGATGGAGAAAGAGTGGCTGAGACAGATCAAGTACATCGAGACACTACTGACCATCCTAACTACCAAGTGAGCCTCTAAGCAGCAGTCAAAGAGGCACAGACAGGAAACTGTACCGTATTACATCCCTTATGGAGAGAAGAGAAGAGAAGAGAAGAGAAGAGAAGGTGACAGTAGGAGAGGAAGAAGAGAGGGACTGTTTGGTTGATTTCATCTTTTGGTCACTCAGCCGTTTTGTCGGACACAGCTGTTTTTCCGGCGCGTTGCCCCAGCTCGCCAGTTCCCTCCTCCGGTCTCCTGTCGCTGTGCCGTGCGCCGCAGCCACGGCGACGGCGACCACCGCGCTCCGGAGCGCACAACGCCGCGACTGTTAACTGCTCAGTGGGCCGTGACTGATCGGAGCTGATTAAATCACACAGGCATAGGAGCGCGCGCACAGACACAGAATACACTCACGGGAATGTGATACTAAAACGCCGAAGGACTGTCATTTGCGTGGGGGAAAAAAAACGGAGGCGGACAAACGCGCGCTCACAGGGCTCCAAACCGAAAATATAGCCAGCATTTCTTCATCTTATGTTTCTTGTTCTTCTTCGTTTTTGTCTTATGGGAGTAAGTGGGTGGTGGTGGTGGTGTTACCCGACCTGAATTCAGAATATTTCAGCCCTGATTGGGTGTTCTTGAGCAAGACAGCGGATCGCCATCTGCGCACACTGTAACACGCTTTGTATAAAATATTCTTCGAATTCTAGATTCAGTTGAGTTTATAAATCCGGTTACATTGTGTTTTGTGGGGTTTTTAATAAGTCACGCAAGCACAAGTCATGTTCATATAAAAGCCCTTTAAATGGTTCTGTAATTAAGTCAGTGCTTTCATCTCTAAACCGGATTCCAGGAGCGCAGAGGAGGTCCTGCTCAACCAGCCATCTCCTTCAAATTCAAAAAAACAAGTTTTAATTATTTTTTTTTTGTATAGGCTAGTGAACACACTGCCGTCAAGTCTCTCGTACCCCTCCGAGACCTCACACAGGCACACACGGGCCAGTCATCCGCCGACTAGCCGAGGTTCGGGTGTCTCAGATGGCACTGGCAGTTAGTACGCATCTGTCATTTGACGCTTCGACTTAGTCAATTACTTATTATTCCACACACACGCACGGATACAGGAGGTGTCAAGGTGAATTGCATATGGACTAATCGATTGTCATTTGGCTTTAAAAAAGAAAAAAGAAACTTGCTTCATTTAAATTTCCAGAGCGGTGTTAAAATGTTGGCAGGCATAAGCTCCTGTCTGTGATCACCATATGGCAAACACAAGTCTCTTATCATCTCATGGTTTCATGCAACTTGCTCCAGTTTTACACTTTTTTAAGTGATGAATATTATCACGTTGATTTGTGTGAGGATGGAGAGGTGGGGAAGCTGAGTTTTGAGTTGGGTTTCCTTTCATCTACATCCCTGTTTATCCCTGAACACCACTCCTCTCCAAAGCGCACATTAAGGCAACCCCAAAGAAAAACATAACAACGATTATATCATACAATCGTTAACCCAGAGAGCCTTTGTGACTACAAAAAGTTACAAATTCTTATGCAAAGAGAGGAGGGCAAAACAAAGAAGGAGAAACAAAGAAAAAATGAACTAAGAGTGGGTGTGACAATTCCGATTTCCAGCCACAAAACAATAAAATCGCAAACGCTTATGGCTGAAACGCGCCAGCGATCATATTCTAATATAATGTAAAGCTCCACAGGCAGCGTTTACTTTGATGGGGTGCCACTTTCTTCTACTTTTGAATACAACGACAATGTTTCGAACTAGCAACAACTTTTCGCCTACATTTGTATCTCTTACCTTTCCACAGGAAAATAAGAAGCACCGTCTTCCAGAGGCAACAACCCACCGGCGCGCCTCCCTCTCTCCAGACCGTCTCCATCCCTCCTGTCGGTTAAAAAAAAAAAAAAAAAACCTCCGGAACTGTTCACAAAACGGACAAGGGGGGGGATTTAATATTTTATAGCGTTCCCTTTGCCCAGACAGATAACTAACGCATCGGTGTCATCAATAATCTCGATTTGACCGAACTGCGCTCCCACTGTGCTTGACCTAAGACACCGCGCAGATGAGGTTTGGAGTAAACTATAAATCCTTCTGGAGTCAGTAATAAAAAGAAAAAAAAAAGAAACCCCCGATGGGCAATTCCGGTGCAGGCTGGCTTCTCTTTTAATCCTCCCCCCCCCGCCAAAAAAGTCTGCGGTGTGTCTCCTTCAAGCCAGAACCGAGGAATGAACCCGTTTTCCCCGTGGTGAGCCTTTTTTTTCCAACCGGTGCGCTCCTCTGTTTTTTTTTCTTCCCTTTTATCCAGACGGGACAGCTGAAGCTGAGGAAACCTCAACGTCTCTCCCTTTATCGCACTTTTCTTTCTTCCAAAGTTTAAAAACAGACCAGAAGAGTGGACGAAGAACTCCCCCAACGAATCAAAAAGTCCACTTTAGAGGCGGGTTTGCAACAACTAAACCGAAGAAAACTCTGTCACTTAAGGCTCATATATTAAATAAAATCCAAATTAAATTCCGCTCGCCCGGCAGCAGCTCCGTCCGCTCTCCTTCTTTTCCTTCCTCCCTGTGTCTATCGTCCGACTATCCTCCTCTTGCTGCGCGTGTTATGTGTGTGTGTTGGTGTGTGTGTGTGTGTATGTGTGTGTGTGTGTATGCGTCTGGGCTCAACTTGAGAGGCTGTATACACTCGTCCGCGGGATGGAGGGAGGAGAGGACAGAAGAGAAGGAGGTCTGACGCTTCCACCAGCCAGCAGAGGAGAGGGAGGAGGAAGAGGAGGAGGAGGGCCATCGCAGGCTGTGGGGCTGAGGAAGGTGGGGGGGGGGGGGTGAGGGCGGGATTTGGGGATTTGAGTGACAGTTAAACAGCCAATGGAGGGTGTAGGAATTTATTTTGGCTTTCCCCCTATTTATTTCAACATTTATTTTTTTCGTTTATATGTTTTATTCTATTTTATTCACTCATTCATTTTGGAGAGGAGTAAAGACACCCATAACACAATCAGAGGAAGTGTTGAAACATTGCGTGCATTTTTGCTTTCACAATAAAATAAAAAGTAAAAAAAAATATAAAGATAAAAATAGGCATTAATGGCCAATAATTGAAAACGAGAGCCATGTAGAACAGGCTCAGAGGATGCTCCCGCACACTGTAACCTTTGACGCTAAAAAGACTCGAATAAAAGTTTATATAGATAGTTTAAGACACTCCACAGGCACAGGCCCGTCTCTCTGTGGGTCTTTTATGTGTTTTGGGTGTCGCTTGTGTGTGCGCGCGCGCGTTCGCTTGTTGTTTATCCTTTCAAAGCCCTCTCTCTGCATTATTCATCCGAAGACACACGCTACACCTGTTTCTACCTGTAATCGATAGACGCCAACTTCGCGAGGGCTCCTGTGGGCTGCTCGTACGCACGCGCGCGCCCGCGCTCGCGCACATCGCATTCGCTTCCAGTGGCGTGTGACAGCTTGTACAACTGCAAAATGTGATACACCAGGCACCTTGTAATAAAACTCATTCACTTTCTATTGATAGGACGGGAGTGTGTGTGTGTGTGTGTGTGTGTGTGTGTGGGGGGGGAGAGGAGAAGGGGGGGGTGAACGAGGCAGAAGAGAGAGAACATTAAGGTCTTCTCTTAGTCCGAGACGATATTTCATAAGGCAGCGTGCCTGGTTCCCTTTGTCAGCTAAATGTGTAAAAGCTAAAGAGATGACATTGTGACTTATTGAATTGCAAATCAGTCCGTCGGCGGAGGGATGGGAGGATTTCCGGAGATGGAGATACGTGAGCCTCTCAGCCCGTCTGCCTGCCTGCCTGCCTGTCTGTCTGTCTGACTGCACGGCCTGTAGGAGAGGCTTAGAAGGAGCGACAGCCCCCCCTAGTGTTGCGTTTAAAGAAGAGATACCGTGCTTACATTCACAGACCCCCCCCGTACGTTCATCCTTCATGCCCTCAATTAGCAGTGTGTGTGTGTGTGTGTGTGTGTGTGTGTGTGTGTGTGTGTGATTGTCATCGGCCCTGCCTTATCTGAGATGTATCCCACGCTATTCTTCTGTCACTTTTCTCTCTTCTCTTTACTGTGATTCCACCATGGGAACTTTGACAGAGCCTCTCTCGCTGCTTGCTCACTTTCGCCCCCCCAAACAAATTTTTCTGGCCTCCCAGTCCCAAGCTGACTACTTCTGTGCCTCCTATAGCATCTGGGTGACCGCCATCCATCCATGTTATGCAGCAGAACCAAATCAGTGCATTTTGAAATATTATTCTAATTTCCCTCAATAACTTTTCCCTCAGCCAGTCGCAGCATTCCCCGTGACTTAAGCTTGAAATATCTTTTTTTAACTGAACTATTCCTCTTGGGGCCGCAACCGAAGCAAGGCATTAGTTCAGCAAGCATGCAGTAAAAAGTAATATTTGTACAAATACAGTGTCTGTATACCAATGAGGCCCCACTGGCTGTTTGGAGGAAATTTGACACAAAATAAAAAGAATTGCAGATAATTCTCCATATATCTAGGGACAAAAAACACAAGGCTAAATCTTTCAAAGTATGAGTAAAGAAAAGTCTGTTGGTAAAGAAAAAATATTGAAAGCTGGTTCATTTAAACATTTGTTCTAAGCATTTTTAGTTTATGGCCTCCAAAGAAAAAAAAAAAAGATGCCAACACCCAACCTTTTTACTGAAAACAATCTGATAGCAAACTATTATTTTTGTTCTCCCCTTTAAGGTTATTTCACTTGTCACTATTAGAGGAAGCCTAGAGGCAACAAATATTCATTATACTACAAAAAGGAAGGCATTCATCACAAAGATTGCATTGTCAGTAACTCTTCAAACACAGCCTGTAATAGATGTTATGTGATAAATGAAGAAGAATATGCTTTCTAAAACTGGTTCTCGGTGTCACATGGCCTGGTTGCTGCGTTGTTCCCTGCCAAACTGACCACAGACACTGACCTGTTCTACTTTTGCACTTCAGTCAGGATGAGTCCCATGCAGCTAAATTCCTTAATTATAGAAGTCCCACTTTTTACTGCATAGTTGCTGGACTTTTGCTGCACTTTGTATCCATTCCCAAGAGGAACTATTCAAAAGGGTTGCTCTCATTTTAAAGGTCTGTTTTAAAAGCTGGTTGACACAGTTTGAGAAGAAAAAACTAACAAGCAACACGAGATGAAATTGAATAAAGTGCTTTTAAAAATGTAATAATAATTAGTGACTGGCAACTGTTACGCTTTACCCGAAGCGAACAACAGCTCAACAGGGTAGACTGAATTTCCACTGATTTTACAATTTATCAATAGAAGGAGAACTGTGGATTGGAGAGAAAATAATGAGTTATATTTCAGACAACCGGCTGCTACAGTCATTGTATCACCGTTAGTGTGAGCGAATATTTGTTGAAATCAGAGATGTTGAAGAGTTGAAGGAAAATGTGAACCAGTATACTCTATTTTTAGTGTTCATCTTGCTTTCCTCGGGATGTGCTGAGACACCGATTCACAAAACTGAAAAATCTAAATATTTGATCAGAGTTGTGTGCACGCACATATTTCCCACTCCTCCCTTGCTTTGAATTCATAAATACTCATCCCTTCATACAGTTATCGTTAAGCACAATACTTTCTTTTGGTTTGCTTCAAACAAACTACAAAATTCGTATCACTGAAAAATGCATTGCAGAGATGAAGGGAGAGTTCGGGAAGATCGGAGTTCGAGAGACAGCGAGGAAGAAAAGACTGACACAAAACAACTTTTTACTCCTCACCTAGAAACACGCTAAGCTCTACTCAGACGCACCGCTTCAGCAACGAGCAGAAACCCCTAAACAACAAGTGTAAGAAGCCCTCTCTCCCATCACTGTCAGTCTGCTGCTGTGCTGTCCCCGCTCTGAGGTCATAGTGGTCATCGCTGCACCCGTCTCAGCTTCTCTCCCAATGGCTTCACAGTGGCGAGGTGACCTTTGCACTGCAAGTCACTCCACATCTTCTGTCGCAGGCTGAAAACTCATCTTTTAAAAGAAAATAGCACTCTTGTGAATCATACGTCCCTCTGTCAACATGTACTGACATATTTGTCTGCATTGCTTGTCTATAAAAGTAGAGGAACATTCCATCCAAAATTCAAATCTGATAATAGAACTTCTAATAAGAATCATATGATTCACTAATCTCATCGCTGTGGGGAACCCTTGCCGCTGTCTTCATTTGGAAAGTGGGAGGCTAGGATCAGCTGCAGTTGACTAATGGCCAAAATATTTAGTTTTGTCAACAAAAGGGGGTCAAGGATATCCAGGTGCGCTGAGTATTACTTTGTGGGAGCCCTGAGACAGAAAGATTGAGAACCATTTCTCCTGATCAGTGGCTCATGAACCTTTTCCAAACACCACCCAAGTTTAGCAAAATCGTCTGCTTTCTCCAAGAATGGTAAAAAAAAAAAAAAAAAAACACATACCACATGTTCTGCCGAGGGTCCCTTGGTAGAAGTTCTGCCAGGCCCGGTCAAACTTAATCTTATTCGTATCATGTAGTGACCTACCAGACACAGGCCCGCAAAGTGTATCACATTTTCAATTTCACGGTATTGTTTAACAAAAGGGCATGGCCACATGGAGTTTCCGCCCTCTAACTGTTCAACTAAAACAATTTTAGATATAAAATGTTATCTCAGATTTGAATGATCTCTCTGGTCAACAGCCTTCATGGAACTTTTGGCTGATTTATAGGCTTTTTTATAAACAGAAATAATCACACCCTTAAGATTGCTGATGGCTGTTGTGGTTTCAGCATTCAATATTTTGTTTACATAAGACAAAAACGTTGGTATGCAGTGGAATTAATGCACTTTCTTGATAAACGATGATGTTGAAAGGCTACAGAATCTCTTTAAGGAGCGGTCTGTTGAGCAAGTTCATGTACAAGCTGTCTCTATAATCTTTCGT